CAGTAGCATCTGTATCACTTGGGTACTTGCTAGAAATGCAAATTCTGGGGGGTCCCACTTACCAGTTTGGGCCCACTGACTCAGAAGCTCTGGAGATGGGGCCCAGTGATCCGTGCTTGAGCAAACCCACCATGTGACTCTGGTGCCTGAGAGCATTTGAGAATCCTCCATAAACAGATTCTCTTGGTGTGCTATAAATTGGTAACAACTTGGCATTGAAAAGCAGCTGGGTAGAGAGAGAGTACTTGATGTCAGTGCTTCTCACACACATGAGAATTACTTTGCAGGAGGCGGGGGCCGGGGGGTGGTTAAAACAAATCCTTGCTGAGGCCCCACCATAGACTAATTTAATTAGACTCTGTAGAGTTGGGTCCTGGGCTTTTAAAATGAATTTGTTAATAGTGATATTTGTATAAGGCTTAAAAGTCAGTTTAAAGACACTTGGGTGAGGTGGGAAGGGAGGGTCTTTTCATACGTGGTATCAGGGTGCAGAGTAGCCGATTCTAGAAGACTGTTTAAGATGGTGCTTCTCAGACTCCAGTGTGCTTACCTGGGAACATAGTTAAAATGTAGATTCTGGTTCACTAGGTCTGGAATGAGGCCTGTGATTTTGTGTTACTCATAAGCTCCCAGGGCACCCCAGTGCTGCTGTGCCCAGAACACACTATTTAAGTAGTGCTGATTTAAGGGCATGTTTGTGATACTTGTATTTTCTTTTTAAATTGTTGAAAACAGCCCACCCTATAGTTTCAACACAGATATATTCGCTCAGGAATCCTTTTGTGGAAGGAAGAGAGGTTGAGAAATTGGAAGTCTGTTAGGATCTGGTTCCCAAGGACTATAGTTTTACAGAAGTAGCACATTACTCGGTGACGTCTCAGCATTTAACTGTGAAGCAAATTCAGCTGATAAAAATCTCTTGCTCAAAGAAACAATACATACTGTATTTCCTCTTCTGAGAATCAGGCAATTATTGTTTACATAGTAAAGATGTGATGGGTCTCATTTTCAGATGTACAAGAAAAATGGGAATTGTTTCACACAGGAGGAAACTCATTGTCATCTGAAGTGTTTCAGGGACTATTAAAGATTTGAACACCCAAAGCCAGCTAAGTAGAAACTCCTGACCAGACCAGCCTAGGTCCATAGGAAGTGTTTGCCTGTCATCAGAATGGTGGGCTGAACCCACAGTCTGCTGTGAGCTGTTTCATTAAGGAAGGCACCAGTTAAAAATGTATTTATTCCAGGGGCACCTGGAAGGCTCCGTCGGTTAAGTGTCCTGGTGCACCTTAAACTACGTATGGAGGTCCAGCATTTCCCAGTGTGTGATACTCAGGCCATCAAGAAGGATCAAGCATTTTCAGAGATTTTTACTCATCTATAGATGTTATTAAAGTGGGCAGTTTGTGATGGTCACCTTTGGGTATATGCATGACCACAGTGACTTTTTTTTTTAAAAATTTTTTTTTCAACGTTTATTTATTTTTGGGACAGAGAGAGACAGAGCATGAACGGGCGAGGGGTAGAGAGAGAGGGAGACACAGAATCAGAAACAGGCTCCAGGCTCTGAGCCATCAGCCCAGAGCCCGACGCGGGGCTCGAACTCACGGACCGTGAGATCGTGACCTGGTTGAAGTCGGACGCTTAACCGACTGCGCCACCCAGGCGCCCCCACAGTGACTTTTTAAAGATTAGGATAGTGAACATATCACTTAATGTTTCAAACCTGGTTTTTGAAGAGCAACTTATCAAACTAGCCCCTTTTCAGAAAAAGTCGAGTAGAAAAGATACTTTTCTTTTAAGGCCAACGGATTGGAACTCTGCCATATATGTGCAGGTATAAAGATAAGCACATCCCAAGAGAAAAGTCCTTTGTGGACTCGTCTGACTTTGTAAATAGGACTCTTCACCTTAGGGGATTAACTGATTTGCATGACCCTGCCCATGATTCGGGAGGCCATGATTGGTGTGGCTAGGGTGAAAACTTTTGAAGTGGGCATTTCTGGATTTTAATTATATGTCACAGTGGGTGTGAAGAGGTGGGCCACGAATAAAATTTTTCCCGAGATGTACACTACTTTGTGGTTCGTCTCTAAATCACTAAACTATTTCTAGTCTTCTCTGTTTTGCAATTAACTCTGTCCATTAAACAGTGTTGCAGTCGGTTCCCAAACTGATTATGTATCAGAAGCACTTGGGGAGCTTTTATGAACTGTAGATTATTGGGCCCTACGTGCAGACACTGTTTGAGTCATTCAAGTCTGGGATCTGAGAAACCTTTGTTGTTGTTGTTGTTGTTGTTGTTGTTGTTGTTGTTGTTGTTAACGCTAGAGCTGATTCTCATGCAGACCCAAGCTTGGAAATTATTTTAGTAAATTTACTAATTACCTTGCAAATTTTTCTCTTTTAAAAAAAGTTATTAGGATTGCAGCTCCAAATTACAGCTCTTGTAAAATTGTAATAAACTAAATGGGGGAACAGGATGTTTGCTTTGCTTTCCTAGAGACTTATGCCCTCCACACTCGCATTTTTTCCCATCCTACCAGTTCAATTAAATTCAGCCTATGTCAGTGCAGTAATTTAATAATTAATGAACATAACTCCATTTTATTTTATATTAAAATGGTGTAATTGATTATCAGTGAATGACTAATTATGGGGACTCTTTACTATGAACTATTATGAATAATGTTTTGTAGAAATTTTTCAAAGTAGTTTGTAGGAAAACCATTTTTTGAGCTGTTTATCATCTTTAAAATTTTCCCTAGTTCCTTAATTGAGTTCTGTATCTTTGAGGTTAAATAGTGTAAACAGAGGAACGTTTTAGGGCCCTGAGAATGATAAACACTGGCATTCAGCTCTGACAGTCAAGAAAGTCATAGTTTCTCTGTGCACATTTTTTTAAAAAAGAAAAACTCTGACACACTGTGGATATGACAACCTAGCATACATGATTTTTTAAGGTCTCATAGTTGCCTTATGATTAAAAAAATTTTGGGGGTGCCTGGATGGCTCAGTTGGTTAAGTGTCTGACTCTCATGATCTCACAGGTCATGATCTCACAGTTTGTTGGTTTCAGGCCCATGTCGGGCTCTGTGCTGACAGCTCAGAGCCTGGATCCTGCTTCAGATTCTGTGTCTCCCTCTCTCTCTGCCCCTCTTCCAGTCTCTCTCTCTCTCTCTCTCTCAAAAATAAACAAACATTAAAAAAAAATTTCTAATAGTGTTTTTCATGTATTTTTTTTTCTGCAGCCCACATCAAGAAACACATTAGGAAATCTCACAACCAGTGCATGTGTATGTGTGTCTTTGTGTATAATTGAAATAAATCCCTAAATAACACTTTACTAAAAGATGTGCATGCTGAGATTTTCTGTTCTTTATTTTTTATAAAAATGCTGGTCATGGATGAAGGGGGTCAAAAGGTACAACTTCCAGTTATAAAATTCATACAACCTGGGATGTCCTGTACACCATGGCCACTGTAGTTCATAATACTGCATTGTATATTTGAAAGTTGCTAAGAGGGTAGATCTTAAAAGTTCTCTACTAGAAAAAAAGAATTTGTAACTATGTATGGTGATGAAAGTTAACTAGACTTACTGTGATCATTTCTCAATATATATGAATACCAATCATTGTATTGTACTCCCTAAACAAATTCAGTTTTATAGGTCACTTATACCTCAATTTAAAAAAATGCTGGTATGTTCCACTGAAACGATTTTGTGACACTCTTGGGCTGTCATCCACAGTAAAAGAACTTGTGCTATCCTGAACTCAGAGACACACAGTGGTGGCTTCTAGCGATGGGGTGGGG